TACGAGGTACTATATTTAAAAAAGACTTTGCATGTTTTTGGTGCATTTACGCATCCAAGGATCTTCTTTTTGAGATTTGGCGAGCGCATAGCGAGCAATCGGAGACTCAAAAATGATTTACAAGAAAGTTGAAAAAAAGGCTTCCACGTTTTTGGGTTATTCAGGCTTCCAAGAATCTTTTCTTTCAAGTTGTCGAGCGGAGCGAGCAATCAGAGACTTAAAAATAATATAAATTTCAAGCCGTTATATTATTTAATAAAGGTTTTTCATGTTTCTGGTGGAAGGTTTTTCTCGTTTTTGGTGGATTAACATTTCTGAGAACATTCTCTTTGAGGTTTGGCGAGCGTAGCGAGCAATCGAAGATTTAAAGATAACTTCAAGGTGCGTGCCAGAAGGATTTTGAATAGGTTGCCGTCTGGAATGAAGCAGAGCAGATTCCAAACATCAACAAGTTTAAAGCCCAAGATAGAAAGATGTTAAGGTACTAATAGAGGCCTACTATTACTCAGTGGACGAATTTCTTGATGTCAATTCTACAAAAAAACAGCTGACTGGTAGGACATACGAATTCTAAAGTAATAACACACTTTCCAGTAGGCGCTCGATCAATTGACAAAAAAGGACCTACCAGTAGGCGCACAATCGGTGGATGAAAAAGAACCTATACTGGTAGGCGTATGATTGTTGGATAACAAAGGACCTACCGGTAGGCGTAGGATTCACTCCCTTTTCTAAATAGAGTCAGTGTAAACCAAATTTGTGTGTCCATCCCTATCCACACTTTGCCGAATTCAGGCAGAGGCCTGTATAGCAATTTATTGTTTGACTCCCTCATTATCTTCTCGAGTAAGGTGAGCGCTGAAAGCAGGGATGTTCCGAGAGAATTTGTAATAGTGCATTTGATAGTATAAAAAATGTGCATATCCACAGCCTCCTACATTTAACAAGCCATGAAGTTAAAAAGGCAACACCGCAATCTTACTGCCAAGTGGTGCTGGTGGTGTTTGTTTATATAAATATATATTTTTTATTTTATTAATATGAATCACAAAAAATGCATAATTTATTGTACTGAAGGGCCAAAAACAGTAATTCAATGAATAATTTAACTATTTGTGTAAATAAGAACAGTAAATAATTGATTTAAATGAATATATTTCTAGATTCTAAAGTGTTATAGGCCTATGTTTCAGTATGTCTTTTGAAAATCTAACTTTTTCTTTCTTCGGGAATTTTTTCGGAAGGCAATAGTCCATTCAAATAATTGAGCTGATTTTCGAAAATAATAGGTACCTACTTTTAAGAGTTGGACGTTTTAGTTTGAACTCTCGAACTACACCTTTATCCTTGTTTGTTCCAAATCTAACTATATCGGTTTCTTCAAAATGTTTACAACACACTACAGAATTTTTCGTTATTGTATAATCTCGGGTATAATTATCTTGGTGTATTGCTTTCAACCACATTTTTTGCAATTCAGAATTTTTTTGGAAATAAAAATGTTTGCATTTCTTCAGTTTTTAAGGAACTCCTAATAGTTCGATTTGCACCCAGGAACACAGTAGTTTCATGGCATCTGGGACAAGTTTAAATATCTTAGGTAATATATCGAGACCTTATGCTCTTGCAGACAAATATTAATATTGTTTTTATTGTTTTACCTTACCTTACCTTCATTTTTGCTCCTGTACTCATTTGCTAAAAATTTGCAATCAAAGCACAAAGGAACAGGTATCAACTAAATATGGGCAATATATTGGTGTTTCTATCCACTTTTTCGTCAAAAATGCCCATAAAAATACTAAATTGCAACAATACACAATGAAAGCAATACACAGAAACACATAACCCAATAACAAAATAGCACCATACGCGACGTTGCCGTCATTTCCAACTTCATGGCCTGTTAAGTATAGGGGGCTGTGGCATATCTGACCAAAATGTGCATCCCCCTTGTTTTGCTTTTCAATGTTGCCGGTTGCTAATATGAATGTTAATTCTTACAACGTTGCGAGTTCCGATTGCCAATATTTTGCATTTTCATTGGCGACTGTCGAGCAGGCTGGACTGGGCTCGGGCCGGCTGGGCAGTAGCGTACCAAGGATGATACACACCTACAGGATTGCTTATCGGCCTCGTTTTTGGTTATTGCCGCCATATTGGTGTGTCGACCATTTCCCACGTCATAACTAAGTCGTCAGCTGTTTAAACAGCCTACGTGAAGGTGAGAAATAACATGCGTCACAATTGGTGATTTAGCTTGGGAAGGAGTGGGGGGGATTTGTTTCGTCATTGGGATAGGCCATCCTGGTAGCGGTGATGCCAACCTAGGGAATTTATCCCTAGATCCAGGGATTTTAACATTTATTAGGGATTGAGAAGAGATTTTTCAGGAACCAGGCCAAACTAGGGATATTTTTTTGTTAGCTTTCTTTCTGCTGTGGTATTACTGGTATCTACTGTTTAATTAGATTTATTTACGACTAATGTATAATGTGCGTATTATATTTGTGATTTTGGCAGTATAATGACAGATGTTATTCCTCCAGGGATTAATGACGAGTAGCGGGATTAATGGTCATTATTCCACAAAAGTGTCATTGTCAAACGTGTAGTGCTTGTGGATTTGTATTGAAAATTATGAGACGGATGAAATTTGTTCATTGAAAATCTCAAATAAATTAATTTGTCGTAAATAAAGTAGAGTATACTACTCGCAATAATGGCTATTATTCCCTCGGAATGTTACTCCCTCCCCGCTAACGCGGCTCAGTTCGTAAATATTCCTCGGGAATAATAGCTATCATTATTGACTCGTGGTATAATCTACTATTATTACATTCTTTTTACGCCGGTTGATGCATTGATGAGCAGTCTATCTTTGTCTAGTTCATGGAAAATCGAAATGACTCTCTTATAATTGTGGATAATTCGTTGAAAAAAAAGCGCCCCTTATAGGTACCGCAACATCAAAGAAAACAAATTGTCAATAGTTAATTGTCAATAGTTTCATTCCTATTTCTGCCAATATTTTCAATTTTCCCATTCTTTATGCCAACATTGAAAATCAGGAGTCATCAAATTAAATTGCGATCATGTTTAGCCACGCAGGCTACGTGAATGGGCCATATTAAAAGAAGGAGAAAACCGGGGAGGAATTTATGAGCCATTTTTGCCTGATCTAGGGATATTTTACTTTGGAGTAGGGATTTTTCACACCAGTGAGTTGGCATCACTGCCTGGTAGTAGAATAGTAGTGTGTATCATCCTTGGTGGCGTACAGGTTAGTAGAGTGTACTGAGTGTAGAGTACCTATGTATATCAGTGGTATATACACAGTAAAATATACTTACACTCGTACAAATTTACTGAAATGAAACCCCAAATTCAGAATATTTTGTGTCCTATTTATCGACTGAAAAATTGTGACAGTTATATTCTAGAAATCAAAATGTGCATATCTAGAGATTGGGGTGCATACTGTGCATATAAATTGAAAGTGTGCATCAATATGCACAATTGTGCAGTTTGGAACATCCCGGGCTGAAAGGAGAAATTTTAAGATAGAAGTCTGGATAGGTTGAAATTTAAAAAGTTTTAACTAAAACATCTTAAGAATTTTGACAGTTCCTTGGATTTAAATTATTTCACCCTCAGCTTTATCTTGTAGTACCAATAGTAGATGCCTTAACTTAAAAGGAAAATTTATCTATTTGGGGAAAATCTAGAGATTTTTTTTTATCTTGTTCAATTTCTCCTATATTCTTTTTTTTTTTGACTGTTCAGCGCGTCTGCACGAGAAGCATCATTCTGCTAAATTATAACGACCATGGTACTATCTATATTTAATCGTGCTCTATACTATTACCTATTTTATCACTACAATACTTTTGTTGTTTTTCTATAAAAACATAAAATTTTCCATATTGCAATAGCTAATTTCAATTTAAATCTTCTTTGCAAGACACTCGCTTTTTGACAGAATTCAGGAATTTATTATTCCAAATATTGGTGGACCTGATACTGCTTTATTCTTTTCTGAGTACCTTTTCGACACAAAAGATCTAAATTTGGAGTCTGGATCAGCTGAAGAGACGTCACACCAGCAATTTATCCTCGTTCCTGAATATAGGAAACTACCTGAAGAGCTCCGGATTAGAAAAGGTACATACTGTATCAGATTCACTGGAAAAACCAAGCTGTTATAATTTTCAAATTTTAAAAAGAAACATTGTTACTTATATATTGTGAAAATAAAATTATTGTTTGTTGGAATTTGAGTGGTTTCATTTGCACATAAAGGGGCTACACGTTATTATTTATTTTTTGAATTCCACAACCCTATAGGTTCTCTTTTTCTAAATTACAAATAATTCTACTTTATTTGTAACAATCCCTGTGTAGGGCTTGTAATCAAGAAGACGAGACGATAGAGCACATTCTCTGTGATTGCACTGCTCTTTCGCCAATACGCAGAGCCAGAATAGGCCAATCGTACCCATCGCTAGAAGAGATCAGAGGCACCGCCCTCGGCGACGTCATCGCCTACGTCGGATCGCTCTCATCTTGTGGAGGCGCACCATGGGCCTAAATGCTGTGGCATACCATACCACTCTCCCAAACTTACAGATACAAGAGACACCCCATATGTTTGATAGGTAACTGACATGCTCCATTAATTTTAAATTGTGTTTTGTACTATCATATCTTTTTTTAAATTACCCTGTTATTTTTCATGAAAAAAACGCGTTTTAAAGCATTGTCCAAAATGGTTGTTTTTGAATTTCAGCTTACATGCGACTTGAGGCAGTGATAGAATATAATATACATTTTCTTTACCAATAAAGTCAAAAATCTCCACCAGCTTTATCGAATAAAAGAAAATTAGAATATCTTCCCTTGTTCAACCAAAAACCAACAGATTGTTTTGTAAAGCAGTAGGTAGGTAGAACTGAAAAAAAAAACTTATCTTCCATCAAAGTTTAGCAAGAAAAGTAAAATTAAACTGAGTACCGAGGTAATTTTTATTAAAGAATAATAACATAGAAACAATATTTGATATTGCAACAGCACTAAAACTATTATAATACTCATATAAAAGAAACTCAATAATTCCATACATTCACATGAAAAAAAAAACTATACTGAAATAATAATGGAATGTATACAATAAACCAAGAATAAGCCCACTTGCCCTATAAATATAGGTAATCAATTTTTTGGTGGACCTACTGTATAAAATGAACGTCCTGCTTGTCATCTGTAACATTATAAGCATACCCTAACCTAATACTAGATAGGTAACAAAATTTACTCTAAAGAGCCAAAAATTGAGGTCAAATAAAAAAAGCTGCTTTTACATCCAAATTTTTCTGTATAAAGGGAATATCATGATCTGAGCGTAAATTCCCCAAAATTACCATTCTTTGGTGTCTTCAGTCTTCAACTTTGCGGAACATAAATACGTTTCTTGTTTCACAACAAAATCAACTCAAAGTTGAAAATGTTTCTTGCTGCATAGTGCAGTTCTCAGAAGAGACGCATTTCGACATGACTGAGTCAGACGGGTGTCGGTAAGCATGGGAAAGATAAGCTAGTTTTCCCAAACAGAAAATTCAAAAAAATAACAATTTTATTGTGACCTCGATTTTGTGCTATCCATGTTACACGTCATAATACCAAAAGCAAAAAATATTCCAATACCTATCTAACTGAATCAAACATTCTTACATGCTATAAAAATAGTAAGAACAAGACTATTTTGTAATACCCAAAGTAACACCAATAACCTAAAACAATAATGGATTTTTTTCGTGCTATCGTGATAGCACCAAAACATGGAAATATTCTAACAAAACATTCTACACATACTAAAGAAATAGTAAAAAAAAACATTTCAATTACTTGAAATAATAATGGAATTTTTCCAACAAACCCCTAAAAATATGAATAATATGATGGATTATGTCCAACATAAAATAAAAAAATTAATGTTTTAATTTTTGAATTTTAATTTTTTCTTTTTGTTCTTTTTGCCTTTTCTGACGATCTGCATGGAATCATCCTCCTGGTTATCACTTGCAGCAGCTCTTGCACTGTTTATGTCATCCGCACTCTGAATAGCTTTCTGCTTCTTCTTGCCCACATATTTTTTATTTGAATTTTCCGTGGAATTCCCATTTCCATCATTGCTGTTTTGTTTTCTGGCCTTTTCATTTTTTCGCCAGGAGAATCCTCTCTTAGCAGTATTGCCTTTCAGGCTCAAGGCATCGCATTCGCCATCACCACTGTTCTGCTTTTCTTTAAGTGGTTTTGGATTGCCAATCGTATTAGTGTTTTGATCCATGGTCACATTATTTTTTGCATAATTATGTTGCTTATTCTGGTGATCATAAAATGATCTTCTAGTAGCAGTATTGCCTCTCAAGTTATCACGTTCATCTAATATTGCCTTTTGTTGCAGACGATAATATTCACCAGGATCATCTGCTGAATTTTCTTGACCATCATTTCGATAATATGAGTTATTGGCAGCATTATCATTCCAATTTTGTCCATTGCGTGACAATTGACGCAAATGGTAATCATTTTGGTGGGTATAAAAATAGGATTGGTCTTGTTCGTGTGGCCTCGGCAAGTAGGGTGCTGCATTGGCAGAGTTGGAATTGCCAAAGAAAAATGATTGGTCTTGCCAGGGATTTCCTTGATACATATTAGGGTTAAGCGTTGCAAGCGCTTCCATTTCTTGTCTTGTCATAATACCTCTGAAATATTGACTTTGTTCTAATTCCATTTGGCGACTGGTTACATTTGAATTTTGATTTTCCTTTTGTGATTTTTTGTTGTAGCCAATAACACTCATGATTGAGTTTCCGACCGATTTAATGATATTGGATATTTTGTATTTTTCCCTCACGATAAATTCAGTTTGCTTGTGCTCTATTTTTCCACCAGATTGATGTAAATCGTAGAGTAACTTAATTTTTTTACCAAAATGATGTAGAGTGAACAGTTCTTGAATTTTCTTTTCAATTGCATTTGGAGAATTATCAAATATTACATTTGAGGCGGTGTCCAGTTTAAGTGCTTCTTCAAGAACTGCCTTTTCTTGTTCATATTCTGCAAGAAGCTTTCGCAAGTAATCCAAAGTTTCCTTATTGGCACTTGGACCTAGGTTTTCTTGCCTAGGAATAAAATAACGCAAAAGTTAAAATCAATAAAACCAAACAATAAACTAAAGTTGTAGAATGGGAATACAAAGGAAGAAATACTGAAATTAATATTATATTGTTAAGATTGACGATGTGCTTTCGCCACGATATCCAGAATACATGCACAAATTCCAGAAAGTCTGCTTTATTCAGGAATGGGATTATCGCGTTTATTCTGGATTTTACATGAATAAATTTACGGATATAAAAAGGCCGGTATTAGTTAGTAGTTTTCAAGTTTAAGTTTGACCATAATATGATTTAGATAGTGATTATTGTTGAGCGTTGTCAAGAGTTTAGTTGTTTCAGTTAATTAGTGAACCTATTGGTGTCCGAGTGTATAGTAACATGGAATAAATTATTGTTGTCTTAATTGGACTTTGACTTTTGGAATAAACGAACCTAAGATTTCTGTCGTGACAATATAACTACCGAGAAGATAGGCAACAAATGGAAAAATTAAAGATATAAAGTGGTTTAAAAAGAATGGAAAACTCGCCTTCAAATGGGGAAATAATCAACACCAATCTAAATTATTATCATACATAAAAGAACCTGTTAAAACATATGCTTTGTTGTATGAGATAAATATTTCTTGAATATTTATTTATAAGTATATTATTTACCTACTGGTTATAACAAACTTCAGATATACCGAGCCATTTTCAGTTGATTTTTCAAATTTATTATATCCAGACTAAACAAAAAAACTAAAATTTGAAGAATGCAATTTCAATTAGCTACGAGGATACTTTGTGACAGATTTGGGGATTTTTGAAATTCTCAAACATTTTTTTGCCACATAAAATTCTAAAAAAATACACTATGTATATCCATTCTTCCGCTACAAAATGGCAGTTTTACAAAATTGAAAAAAATAGTATATTGTTGTATTAGGAGTAGAAGCTTTACTTTTTTGTGCTGAAGCGGTAGGTTTGCGAGCCGAACGTAGTGAGGCTTGCAATACTGCTGAAGCACAAAAAAGTGCTTCTACTCCGTATGCAACACGCTATTTTTTCTCCAAGCGAATGGAGTAAGCTCGGGGGTAACTGGATGGTTAAGCGACAGTAAAAGTACGAGCGGCACTAAAAGTACTTTTGCTGCCGCTCCAGCGGCACTAAAAGTAGTTCTACTGCCGGTGCGGTTGCCTAGCATCATAGAAATTAAATCTCTACCACCTCGACAGGTGCTAACCTGCTGGATTTGCCTAGCAGCATAGAAATTAAGTTTCTGACATCCTGACAGGCGTTAACAAAGTGACGTTTGGAGAAAAAAATAATAATTCAACTTTTTTTTTTAATGTGAAAGTGTCACAATTTTACCCCGTAACTTTGTGACAGTGCGTTTTTACAATGAAAACATAGTGTAACCCCGTCATTTTTAGTCTGAAACGATAGAATATGCTTGATAATTTTTTGATATTAAAAACACGGGTATATACTGATTTAGACATTTTAAACCCTCATATTCATCCAGAAATTGGGATGTAAACTCCACCCATAGGAAGTCGTCCACATTAGGAGACATGTCGATCCTTTTAGCGTTGTTTTAGGTTGAGCATAAGTTTCTCCCATACTACTTACATGTCACAAAGTTACCCCAGTAGGTTACTCTTTTTTGTTTATTGTTAAAAAAAAAAGTGTGGCAAATTAATAAATCGTAAGCGTATTTGCGTAGATATCCCGACAAGTACCCAAGCAATCAGAAATTCTGACGAATTTTTCTGAGGAGTGTTCAAATTCTGATGTTACAGTAGAAAGTTTGAGCGTTTCGAAAAAGTTGCAAAAACGGGATGCTCCCTTCGAATAAGGCTGCAAGTTACCAAGGGATCATACCAGCTTGCCGAACGGTCTTTGTAGCGAGTAAGGTCTGTGCTTCCACCAGCCAGTAGAAAAATTTGGCTTCGCGCGCGAAATTTAAGATGTTTGGCTAATTTGAATTGAATTTCGCAATGTCACAAAGTTTCCCCCTTGTCACGAAGTATCCCCGTTTTACGGTACCTATATTGAATTTTATTCTTGTGAACGTTTTTGTGATTTTGATATTGTTGAAAGCTAATTTGAAAATGGGCTTTCACTATCGCGTTAATTAGTGTAAATGAGTAAAAAAATCAAAACATTCACCTGGATATTAAATATTTCACATACTCCTTTAAAGAATCATTAATAGGCGTGATTGCATTTCGTTGTAGAAAATGTGCGAACGCTGCTGAACACTTAATGATAGTGGTGTGCTCCTTCTCAAATTCTTCTTTCCTATTTAACACTTCGTTAATGATTCGTTGTTTTTCTTTTGCTGCATCCTCCTTAGTGTTAATATTCTTCAAAACATTTTCATCAACAATTTTGTTTTCAAATGTTTCCGTTTCATAGTATATATGCATATGAGTGTTATAGCGGCAATTGCATTCTTGACAAACGGAAGTACCATGCATAGCGGTGCAATGTAACAGATGCGGATCACCAACTATTTCCGCAGGAACGTTATTCAAGTAACAGGGATTATGGCATCGTTGTTTATAATGAAACTTGTTTTTACCTGCTACCTGAAATAAATAATTATTTATTTAAAAAAAAAAAGTTCCTGATAAAAATATGTAATATGTACCCACTGAACATGCAATGTTACGAAAGCCTAATGCAATATTACTCTGATATGCTCTGATCTTAGTTTCGCAACATTACAATGTAATATTGAATTATTTTTGACACAACAAATTACAAAATGGAATTTCCTTGAAATTTTAACGCATATTAGAAATTATAACTTGTACGCAAATTAACATTGTAAATATGCATTTAAATTGAACTGGTATAATTTTTGCAATGTTATAATAACTACCAAATGTAAACTTGCTGCAAAATTGGAAATATAACTTGTAGGTAAGGTTACATCGCAAATATGCCTTAAAGTTGTGTTGATATTATTTTGCAATGTTATAATTTAATATTGAATGTAAACTTGCTGCAATATAGCAGAAATTATATATTGGAAAATTGAAAGCTTTGCCGCCATTAATAACGATCGGAACGACATCGGAGATACGAACTAAACCGAAAGCAAATCGACGCCATCAAGTCGCTGTTTGTCGTTTGAGTTGAGTGCTGTGTCTGCTTGTTGAATGTTGTGTCTGTGATAAAGCGAATCTCGGCTAAATTTTTGGTGTTCGTGTTGGGATTATGTATTGGATCGGTTCAGGTAGTGCTTTGCTTTTTGGTTATTTTTATTATTCAGTTTTTATTTTAGAATCTGTGGAAATGAAATAAATATACAGCGATTACAATGGATGAGGATTCAAATAAGGTGAGTAAGGTTTGCATAGTCAATAAATACTTTTTACAAAAATACTGCGGAATGGGGCCCCTTTTTTGTAAACCGTAACCTCTTTTTTTCATACCTACAAATCCCGCATTATTATTATATTACTTATTATGATTTTACGATAATATTTTAGTTAGGATCAAAAATATCGTAAACCGTTTGGTAGGTAATGTCCAGAAAGAAAGTGGCTACGACGGGGAATAATTATTATAATAAAAATACAGAACTACTCCCTGATTTTGTTTTTGTTTCAGGTGACAATATAAGTAGCAGCTGTGGTAGCAGCCAGTACCTACTTCGTCCTGTGTGTCAACCAATCTAAAATTTCGCTTTTTTTTCTGTTTAGAATTTTTATTTATTTTGCATTGAGATATTACTTTCTACGTTTTGTTTTTCACCTAAGTATATTTTTTTTTGTGAGTAGGTATTTTTTTGTGAGTAGGTATAGATATACATAATATACCTACCAACCTTTTTATTTTGTTTTCCAAAAAATTGTACTTTTATTCATAATAAAATATCTACCTAATATATGATTATGGGTTTCAGGCACAAATTTTAACAGCTTGTTTTTAGAACAAGCTGTTAGAATTTATGCACCGCAACTCAAATCTCTGTGTATAGGTACAGTCAACAACTAAAGTAATGTCCCTCGATGTGCGGCATCCTACTTCATTGCTACACAACGTGGCAACGGCGCTGCGCGTAAATGTTTACATTATTAAAATCCGTCCGATTTCATTGTTTGATTGTTTGGTGGATACGTATTTTTTATATAGGATGCATTTTATTCAGTGTTTAATGTTAAAGTAGAAAAGCGGATGCTGATAATATTTACTTGCAAGTAAAATAATGAACTAAACTTTTTCAATACCTACTTGCGGTGGGGAAAACAAAAGGTTAAGATACTAAAGAGGCTCAATATATCTCAAACATTTTGCAACTTCATTGTTTTTGCAGTTTTCAAAATGCCCTCTGAGAAACTAAAATGTTATTAGTTTTGCATTACTTTACTAACCCATACCTATAAGTGATTACACTTTATTAAACTTAAACGGTCGCAATAAGGGCACATCCAATTAATTTTTTATCCAGATTTTATTGAATATTATTTCAATAAAAAATTATTTATTAATTGCTATTCAATTTGACAATAAAAACTCAAGTGGGTAGGTATATACTTACCTATGTATTAAATAGTTTAAATAATTATTATGCACGAACGGGCGTAAAAATACACTTTTACGCCCGCATTTCATAGCGAGAAGTAGTATTTTTACGCCCTAGGGCGCCTTTTATGCCCGCGGGCCTGAAAGTTCTAAAATTTCCGAAATAAGCAAAAAATTCGACGTCATTTTTTTTTAGTTTTTGCATTCCCATTGCTTTTCCAAAAAATACCAAATTTTGTTCAACAAAACAAGCTTTATTTCAAATAATAAGAATAATGCAGCAAGCAATAATAAAACTCAATCTAGTTTAAAATTGAAAATAAATTTTTTACAGTTTTTCAACTTTTATAACCGACCTTTTTTCACAGAAAAACACAAAAGAAATGTTGCCTTCAACATTGAGTAACAGCTCCATAGGGTGGATGACTTATTTTTTTGCGTTTTTCATTAATTTATGTCAGGAGAGTTTCTTCTACAAAGTACTACTGCTGGTCATTAACACCATAACACCATGTTGGGCACACCAGGAAATAAAGTCCTTATATGTTCCTTCATAGAGTCTTTTGGACTTTGAAGATAATAGATCTTCCTTGGCCTAGCCTCAAGAATAAACTTGTGGAGGCTATTTTGCTCCATTTCCAGACGCCAGACTAGACTACACAATCATAAAAATATTATACACTACACAGCTTAAAATAGTTATTTGTTTGTATTGTTCTGGGTTGCTATAATAGTTCGTGATACTTTTTTCAACAATTTCAACAACTGCTTTCTTGGTCTAAATTTGACAAAAACTCGTCCTATTATGAGCTAAAGATGAAAATTTATATTTTGAAATATTTTTGATTGATGTCATTACAAAATTAAAAATATATAATTTTTTGAATATCGAAATGAAATCATGCTCATCGTGCATAAAATCCTCTATGCACCTCGGTCAAAAACAGCTTTAACGTCCTCACCGTGTAAACAGTTCTCGTCTAACGCCTCATCAGGCTGTAACACACGCTGCGGACGGTAAAGCTGTATTTTTTGACCTAGGAGCATAAATAACTATTATGAAAGTCAAGATATGTCAAAACGAAACATCTTTTAATTTTATGTGCATATTTTACAACGAAAACTAGGTGATATAAAGCAAAGTGAATAGTGAAACTCGGTATAGGTCAAAAGAAAATTACGAACAACACATTGTGTAAACGATAGCCATTTTTGGTGTCGATTTCAGTTTTTAGAATAAAAAAAAACAATTCAGTTGACAAAAAACTGTATATTTCAATTTTGGTGGACTTGTGTCAAAAAATAAAAAAAAATCAATTGAAAAAGATGGCAACTGCCTTTTCCATACGGTAAGCCAATACCTTAGGTCTAAAGATACCTATATTGATCACAGTATATTGAAAAAAAAGTCCGTGAACTATGTTTTGCAACACTGGGACGATTTAGTACCTTTTTTACATAATAAAACCTTATAGACTGTGAGATAGGGGCTGGTTAGTGGAGTCTTTTTTTTTGTCTGGCATTTTGAGGGCTGAATGTGGCTACTAAAGGCTCGCTTTCCTCGGACGCGGGACGGAGACGGAACGCAAGCGTGACGGAGTCAAAGCGCTTCCCCGGCGTATCGCGCTAGGGAGGTAGTGCTTTCCTCGAAGGCGTAGCGACGTCGGCGATTCTGCAATCCGTGTGTGAAAATGGATTCCGAAGATTTATTATTTTTTATTCTAATAGACGAGATTGATGAAGAGCTTCTTATTGCGGAAATGTCGTCAAAACGAAAAAGTGAACACGAAGGTCGAACAATAATTCACTTTTCTCTTCTGTGAAATTCGACATTTTTACACAGATTTTTATTTATAAATATTTATTCCGTCGGTGTTGCGCCCCGTCGAAGTTGCCTCTCGACCGACCAGTGGCGTGATTCCGCTAGCGTCAAAAAAACTGCGCTCCGCCGCCGTCGCGCCTCCGCTGCTTAGGAAAGCACATCTTTATATTTTAATGAGGGCAACGTCTGCGGCACCCGTTCCGTCTCCGTCCCGCTCCCGAGGAAAGCAAGCCTTAAGGCTCGCTTTCCTCGGACGCGGGACGGAGACGGAACGCAAGCGTGACGGAGTCAAAGCGCTTCCCCGGCGTATCGCACTAGGGAGGTAGTGCTTTCCTCGAAGGCGTAGCGACGTCGGCGATTCTGCAATCCGTGTGTGAAAATGGATTCCGAAGATTTATTATTTTTTATTCTAATAGACGAGATTGATGAAGAGCTTTTCCTCGCTTGTTTTCTGTAGGAATCTCTGATGGTTTTCCATCTGGTTTTGCATTCACCAACTTTAACAAAAAAAATTTGAGGTGTTACAAGCAACAACACACACGTACCATCAGTAATGCAAATAAAATAATTCAAGCGAAAGATCCGAAACAGAAAATCCAAAAAAATAATAGCGTCTATCTGCAACTGGCCATAAATTATCTTCTACTTACCAGGTTTTTGAAGGGCATCACTAATTGCTTTCCAAGCATTTTCTTTAATTGTGTTGTTGAAATAATTTTTGTGTTTTAAATTGTACAGTACAGGATACTGCCTCACTAGGTCGATCAATAATTCACTTTTCTCTTCTGTGAAATTCGACATTTTTACACAGATTTTTATTTATAAATATTATTCCGTCGGTGTTGCGCCCCGTCGAAGTTGCCTCTCGACCGACCAGTGGCGTGATTCCGCTAGCGTCAAAAAAACTGCGCTCCGCCGCCGTCGCGCCTCCGCTGCTTAGGAAAGCACATCTTTATATTTTAATGAGGGCAACGTCTGCGGCACCCGTTCCGTCTCCGTCCCGCTTCCGAGGAAAGCAAGCCTTTTAGCTGATGAGAATATGGTTGATTCTAATGCCTGCCTCCCGTTCGAAAATTTGTAGAAGAAAAAAATTGATTTACATGAAGTTTTTTTTTTAATGATCTCAAATTTTCTGGCTTTTAAATAAAAGATTTACATTGATAAATAATTTACCCATGAAAAATACCAGATACTTTTCAATAGCTGAAAAAGTGGGAATGGGTGTCAACTTCC